TCTTGTTAATCTGGGCTGGTTTCAGCTTGTAAATTACTGTAAATTAACCTCTCTTAACTAGCCAATAGATTACAAAGTCACTTGGGGTGGCAAGACTGAAGCTGACAAATGCCCAGACACACAATATAATGACATCAGGGTATAATCACAGTTTCTCAGAAAAACAGGCCCGAAGGAGGCACACTGACTAGTAGACACACAAACTAAAAGTCCACATCAACATCACAAATCATATCTGCAATGAAATCTGCAAGAACCTGAAAGTGGCATGGAGAGGCAGATTGCTTCTGTCAGGGGAGTGACTTGTGCTTGCTCAGGTTTAGGTAAGACAAGTGTTCTATTTTACAATTATATTTATTTTGTACTTGGATACCTGCAGGAACCCTACCACTAGAATCTTTGAGAGTGCTACTGGGTCTTTGGCAGGGTGGGGTAGAACAAAAGTGTTGTTTTCCTGAAATTGCAGCTCTTCCCTGCTGCAAACCACATGGGGAAGAAAACTCAGGAGTGAAGTGGACGATATCTACCTCTTCTGGAGCCTAAACAAGAAGTGAAGCACAGCCTGCTGGAATGAGAGCAGGCTGTGAACAGTACCAGGTCAGTTAGGCAAGGGATTATACTGAAGCCTTCAATTGCCAGATGCTGACAAGGATATTTGAGTTAGCAAAGAAAAAGGGAACAAAAGTAGAGAGGAAGGAGGCTTCACCAGGATCCGTGGTGCAGATGAACCATGAGACTGTGAATGAAGAGCCTGAGAAATGACAGAGGAGAGAATAGAGAGCAGAAATAGGCAAGAGAAATTAGGGGGAAAGCCTCTGTGCATGTCAGGGCATGGTGCTGGGATTGAAACCAAAGATCCCAGCTCAGCATTTCCCTGCTGCCAACAAACATCCACAAAAATGTTTCTGTGACTCTGGGGCTCCAGGAGGATGGTAACCAATTATTAGAACTATTCTTTTATCTTTGTGGCTGAACTGTTGTTTGCTTGCTTGCCTGTCGGGTTGGGGCAGGAGGGCTGGAGACCATGCTGAAAGATGGCAATAAAGAACATAGCACCACACTGACAGGAAGTTTCAAACTTCAGGTTGCCCATGGGATCTGAACTTGCTCCCTCCTCGTTTAGAGGTAAGTATAAGGATACAAATCTTTGCTAGGCACATCTTTTCCTCCCATGATCAGCTTACTCCCAAAGAAAACCAAACTGCATTTCTCTGACAAGCAGATTTTCAGTACTTTGTCTCACAATTCTCCACATGGCTCCATGCCTCATTGGCTCCTCAGTGATGAATTCTCATTCTGAATAATGAATTAGCAACTCCTTCTATTTATGGTGTTCATCACTGGAATACACAAGTATGGACAGATCCACAAAAATAACAGCTTTCAGTCATGTAGCCAATCTTTAAACTTTTCATTTATTACTTTGAAAGAAAAGCTTCATTTCCCAGGTAGCCTATGCAAATTACATACCTTCATGGGTGCAAATTTACAGTCCAAAGATTTGATAACAGGAACATGAGAATGCATTTATTTGGATTTTTATTTTTAAAAAGTCATCTAGGAAATCATAGGAGAGGAAAAGGGTTGCAGGAGAAATATTTGATACAAATCAAAACAGGGAGACCAGAGCTGTACTATCCCAAAGTAACAAAGAGGGAAACTGAGGCACGAAACAACCTTCTCTCTTCTGTCACCTAAGAGGATGGCAGGGTTTGAAGGTAGAGTTGTTCCTTCGTTTCCTTGACAGAAAAGCAATCACTTTACATTTTGCTCGACTAGAGCATTAAGATTCTTTGGTAATTTTTGTTCTTAGGTGCTGCATTTCTATGGAAACACACCTTTTTAAGGTAACATAAAAATGCTGACTGCTTAAAAAAACCTCTGTTTCACTTATCTGCCTTTTACTGCCATAACTGTTTCTATGGAAACTGGAACTGGCCATGAAGCACTCCTACAACATGAATTCTCACTTGTCAGTTTTACATTAAACTGCTGCCTTCAGAGTCCTTCAATAAACCAGTAATAATTGTGTTGCCTAACGACTTTTCAAATTAAACAAAACAAGAAAGCGTGCTTTCACCAAATGTGCCACACAATATTCTGTAGGTGTGGTCTAAGCAAGAATTTTAACAGTGTGCATGATATGACTCTCTTGGTTAAGGATATGATCTTTAAACAGAGAGACAGTTTATTAGCAGTAAAAGCCCTAGTGTGTGTAGTTAGACCTACATAAAGGTGACTTATACCAATACGGGTATGTCTAGACTGCTGTCACAGAAGCATACTGTAGAGATACTGAGTAAACGGGTCAGTCAGCCCTCAGTGAGCTCTGTGCTCCCACAGCTCGCGGGCGGTGTTCCCTGCAGGGGCACGACAGGGAATGCTCTCAGCCAGAGGGCTAGTCTGTGCTGGGTGGCTACTGTGGAAAAAATAAAGCTGGCAAGCTTAAGGCATAATGATTCTGTGCAGTTATTCAGAATTAGGATCTATATCTAGGCTCCTCCATTAATTTTACCTTAACCTTTCACTCTCCTAAAAACTGTAGGCTCCATTCATATTACTTCCCTGAGTTAACTTGACTGAGAAAAAAACCCTTTTCCCGTTCTTGGGGAGCAATCTCCAAGAGAACGCACCCTCTATCACAGGAGTCCAGCATTGCCAGCAAGGACAAACTTAAAAACTTCCAAGGACAGGTTCTTTCCAGAGTGACTTACCTGTCTTTCCTAAGACAAATTCCTGACACCTCATCTCTGGGGCTCTTTGCAGTTGATTGGTGCTTTTAAGTTACAAGAGAGGCAGGACAGAGAGGGCAGATGCTTTGTGTCTGCACCAACCTCCAATATACAGAAAAATAGGTGACCAGGGGTTTTAGGCAGACATTACACACAAACAGCAAAAAAACAAGGGCAGCATCAAAGTTGCAGGCAGCAGAACCCATTAGAAGCTGCATGTATGACTATACAAGCTTCAAAAGACAAAGAATCCTATTTTGGTATGAATTTATTTTAAAGAGACCCTAAAGAGCTACATGATCTCCAGACTATCTTTTCCTCCAATATTTAGCTGAGCAGAGCTCCTCCCAAAACTCACCCAGCCCACACACTTGGCTGACACCCTCCAGAGAATCAGAGTCCGTCTTTCTTCTAACCTAAGAGAGGAGATCACCTTTCCCACAGAGCTTGCAGCATTCTTTTAACCCTTTCCCAGCAAAATCAGCTTCTGCTAATGCAGAACATGTCAAGAAAATGGCCAATGCAATCTCTTAGAACAGATGCCATGCTCTTCATATATGGTCCAGGATACCACATATTTTCCTTAAAAATATCCTCAAACTCATGCCAAGTAGGCGACTTGTCCATAACCAAGCAGGAACATATGGTTAACTCCTGACAAAAGACTGAATGTAGGAATCAATATTCCAAGCTACTTTTTCCATATGTAGCCTTCATTTTTAAGCATCACTTCAAGCTGATCAATAATCAGAGCAGGAATCTGAAAAGCAAGTCTCCCCAGGGGCCAACCAGAGCTTTTCACAGGCACAAAAAAAAAAGCTCCAGTTCCCCTCAGTACCACTTCAGAGTGTGGACTTCTTTCCTTGATTTGCAGAAACATTGAGGGGTAGGGGAGGGGGAAGAGAGACTTCTACAGTTCTTTCCTAATCCTCTTCTATTTCCTTCTGCACAGGTACATCCTTTCAGCACCTGCTCACACCCATATTAACATTTGACTAGAAGGTAGCAAACTTAAATCAGAGTCCTAACAGTAGGAGTAGAGCAGCCTGCAGGGAAACCAACTATTTTTACAACAAAAGAATGATTCATACAGTTTTCCACTATGGACAAATGCACCACCTCTTTAAGGCCAGAGTTTTCCACAGGCCTCTGAATGCAAATGCCAAATATTTTGTCATGCCTTTCTCTTAGCCTATATCTCACTGCAGCCAGGGCTTGGAATGAGGCTTATAATATAACAACAAACCAGAGACCTGGCACACATGGGGCTACTCACTGGCTTTCCTCATGCATATGGTTTATTTTTCCCTGCTATGTCAATCCTTATAGGGCTTTACCACTACATCTGCCTCCTGGGAGTCTGCTATTTCAAGTGTTACAGGGAAGGTGCAGAGGAAAGAGGAAGGATACACTGAATCCTTTCTACTCTTTTCAAGTTAAAGCTCTCACCTCCACATCATTAATTAAACAGATGAAGCAGACAAGTTCCTGCAGCACCCAGCCCTCTCTAATGATAAATACTGAGCAGCTCTGGGCTTTGCACATAAGGCTTGTAATTATTCCAGATCAAACATCTTGCACGGTAACCTACTTTAGGTCACATCCATCCAACACTATCTCATCCATGTCTTGTAGTCCTCTGCCAGCACAGATACAGACAGTATTTTTCCTCAAAGGTGACAAGGAATAAAAGGCACAAAAGGTAACAGGGAGATTACAGTGAGTCTTGCTGGCTTTCATATTTTCTTTTCCAAAGCAACTGATTTATGGTTTACCATTTGTGATGGAGGAAACAATTTTATTGTATTGTATACATAAAAAGAAAGATCCACTGCTATTACCATATAGAAAAATCACAAGATCAATCTTTAAGCCAGAAAAATGAGTCTTGATGTGACCACTGCTGTAAACAGCACTCTTTAGTGACTTTTCTTTAGGGTTCACTGGATGTAAATGTGAGGATGGCCACGTCACATCTTACTGCAGAGAAAGAGCCCAGCATCTTTTTCAGCTCCCCTACTATGTTAGGATATCCAGAATCAGTATGAAACAACCTTCACTAGGAATAATGAGGAAGTCAGCAAGAATATTAGGACACATATTTGGATGACTTCTGTGGAGGTGGAAAAAGACAGCATTTGGAGAATCAGAATGCTCTTTTTCTTCCCTCATTAGATCATACCAGGTAATAGCTTTTCAGGGTCACTCAACCTTTCTTCTGTCCTTTATCCTGAATGGACCACAAGGAATGTATCTTATCTTCTCTCTTCAAAATGCCATATAATACCCATCCATAGTGCTGACAACATCACTGTTACTCTCCAGCAGATCCATGACACGGTGCATCACCACCTCAGGCAGAGAGGGGTTGTAGCTCTGCCGCAGACAGCTCAGGACATGAAGGAAATGGCAGCCTTTCTCAGCATCTGCCGAAAAACGGAGAACGCAGCCAGACATGAAGGAAAGACTTCAGTCTAACTGCTTCTTTTGAACTGTTATAATCCAGATTAGTCATGAAAAAACCCACAGCTGTCTTGGAGAAGAACGTCCTAGGTACTAAAGAAGTGATCCGCATATTCAGAGGGAAGAGATCCAATCTGTGCCTACAGTTCTCCAGTTATCAACTATTCCCACTGACTTCTGTGGGAAGCGTCAGGGCTGTAACACTAGTAACGGGGTGAAAGATAGTAGGTCTTGCAAACTCTATAATATATAGGGCTCACTCAGTACAACCTGATGAGATTAATAATTTAAGGGTACCTCACACCTATGCAAACCATCCAGTGTCTGCAATTGCAGAAGCAGACAAATGAAATTCCTTGTGCTCATACTTAAGCTCAAAAACGTCTAGAAGGCAGGTCCGTGGCCAGGACCTGTAACTGCTTGCCCAATGCTGGCATCTTGTGGAGAAACTGCTACAGTGCAACGTTCATTTACCTAGCGGTGATAGCCCACACCAGCACTTCAGACTACTCAAGACAGTTATGGGAGAAGAAATTCACAGAACTTCAGTGTCAAACTTTATCTCCTTTTACGAGGAATGAACCTTGAAAACGTACAAGAGAACAGAAATGTAAAAATGATCCCTCTCCCTAGAGTGCCAGCCATAGGCAAAGGTCCTTAACGGCTGCCATATTGCACCCAGCTACTGTGTGCCTAATGGAGCCATCATTTGAAGCTCAGTAGTCTTGGGCAGCATTTTCTCCAACAGACCCTGTAAAGCCACTAACCATCAGTGCTGCAGGCTCCCTGAACTCCACAACAGATTTCTCTTTCTCCTCCATTGCTAGCAATGGAAAACTAGCAGAAATGAGACATCAGCACAAACAACTTTCCTACTCCTCAGCCTTCAGCTCACATGATGCAAAGTAAGTTTGATAAGGGTACTGAGAAATTGCCATGGTCCAGGGAAGTCCCTGTCTTTTGTTTTTGTTGCCTTTGGTTGGTGTTTGGTGAGGATTTTTGTTGGGTTTGTGTGGGGTTTTTTTGTGTGTTTTGGTTTTTTTTTTTTTTTGTTCCCCAACCTCTACTCTAGAATTGGCTGAGCCCCAGAACTGCCCTAGAACCTGCTGAGAAAAGTCACTGGCAGATAGGAGGCAATACTGAGTACTGGTAAATAAGCAGTTCAGCCTAATTCCTATTAGGCTGTGAATCAAAGGTATTTATTTAGCAGTGATTCAGGTAAAGGTGTTTCTTTAGCAGTCAGCGATCCAGAGTGATAAGAGACTTTTGTGGCTGGTAGCCAAAAACACATCCACCACCCTAGGCTGGATAAGTGCAGAGAACAGAACAATGCCTCTGCCTGGCCATAATGAGTGTTGTTGCAAACAAAGTGTGGAGCTGCATTTTGCATTACTCATAGATTTGTCTTAAGAAGGTCAAAGTGCCCATCCCTGATCTACAGTGATTTAAGCTTAAGTCTTGACAAATAGATCAGTGACTGAAGCGTTACCCAACAGCACAATACATGCTTTCCTCTTAGATGCTGGTAGAAAATGGCATCTTATGGTTCAGTTCCAGTTCAGGATGGAATCAGAACAAACTCATCCTTTCTATCTTAAGCCTCTAGACAGACCCACAGTGTCCTTGCATGATGGCATTTAAGAGCAGGCTGTTTGGAACGACAACTGGAGTCAAGGACTAGGATTGTCATATAGGCATATTGCAGAACAGGGTTTGTGGACCTCTGATGAGGCATGCTGAGGATTTTATTGTACAGAAGTTCCAGGCAGCTGGGTTGGGCCTGAGAATGTGTCACAACTAAGGCAATGGGGTGAGGCACTGCCTTGAAAACTGGCAGAGAAGTAACTCATTGGAGAGCAGAGTTTGGTTTACCATCAGTCTTCCTGTTGTGGAAGATTAATATTACTCTTGAAGGAAAATGGGTAGGAATTTCTTGCAACAAACAAGAAAAAGCCCTCGAGGTATTACCATGTTCTTTCTTTCTCACTACAAGCCTGGTCACCAGTCAAGGCAAGCGGGTGGCTAAGTGCCATCCCACCAGCAGAGGGGGGCCGAAAGTTACATTGAGCTCTGAGCTCTTGCATCATTCAGTGACAGTAAAACATCCGCAGTACCCTGTGGGGTTTTCGATTGACGTTTCTTGGGTTTTCCATCTCAAAATCTTCTATTGCCAGTGTCCAGGGCATTGAAATGGTACTTCTGAAAACTAGCAAAGAGACACTGACCTGGAAATTGTCCTCTTTAGAACAGGAAACTAAGTAGGTGGAAGCTTCAAGGAGAACAAGAGGCTCTGTAAAGCAGTAGCTATTTTTAACCTGCTCAGTATGGAAAACATGGCTTTGAGGACTTTGGATCCTTCAATGTCTTTTCTGTGGCTGATCTACAAATTTCTCTCTGCCGTTGACTAGTCCTGACTATGAGAAAGAATTTCCCATCTTCTCATGGAACACTCAGAGTACTCTACCAGTGTGATAATGCACCAGAAGGGAGTGAAACAGCAGCCACTCATTCAGTGCCTTGTGTCACAAGTATACAGGTTCTGGCCATTATAGTGGCACAGTTATTTAAAAAAATTACTTCCTAGGAGAACTAGCTGATATATAAAATGGGCAGAGGAATGATATGACTCTTAGAGAGCTGTTTGTATTTGTTAATTGGATAAAAGACAATAAAACAATGCAATATGTGAACCTGGGGTCATTTGCCTGAGGCTGTTTCAGAGCAACATGTTCACCTGCATACTCAGTAAAATCTGCTCCCTCCATCCCCCAGAGATACAGAACTTTCACCTCCACCTACAAACCTCATCTACAATTGTACCACTGCACTGCTTAAGGTCACCAGTCAAAAATTCAAAAATACTACTTCACTTAGCTTTTTTTTTTCCCTGCAGGATAACCATCATATACCAGGTCCTGCAAGCACTATTATATTTCTGACAGTATAAGGATATGAGCAACTTAAGATAAGGCTTAGATCTTAGTCACTTATTCTATACTAAAGTCCATCCTACCCATAAATGGCTGCACTCCAGCATCAAGTGATCCCTGCTGACACATTCTGCCCTATCCGTTGAAAGAAACTCTGGAGCAACACACGTGTGTAACTAGCAGACATTCAAGTCAAACACAAGCTGTCACTATGGCAATAAACACAATTGGCTTGAGGGACAGGGATAACTCAGAAGCCACACAAGGTAAATTATTTGAAAAGGAGTGGATTCTGTTAGACTGAAATCGCTACTTGCAAAGAACCACCATCTGAGCTTAGAGTCTATGGAGAATATTCTACTGACTAGTTTTATTGTTGACTTACTAGAGGCAGGGATTTCACCTTTCTGTACGGTCACTTGTGTAAACTTCCCTGTGAAAACTGAACTAGCAAGATTTGCTGCTTACCCAGAGTGCAAAGCAACAGCTGCTAGCTGCTGACCTAACTTCATTACATTTGGTTCCTCCCAAAATCTAAGTATTCTCAAAAGATACAGATCTAATATAATGGCTGCTTATTTCAGATCTGAGAAGTTTGCTTCCTGCTGGGCACACCTGCTCTTTCACTCTCCATGCTCACAGGAAGCTGCTCTTTCACTCCCACTTTCAGCTATACTGATTAGCTAAACCAGTAACTTAGGTCCTAGTTCAAGGGTTAGAACAAGAAGTGTATCTAATCTAGCAGCAGGAGATACTGTCACCAGCACATCAGAGCCATGATTGCGTCGCTACTTACGCCTGGGTTTTTGACAGTCTTCTTTAATCACATCAAGGGTCACTTTAAGCAGCTCCTTATCATGGTCAGTTACCTGGAGAAAACAGAAGAAACTGGCAATTTATAGCAGTCTATTTCACCATAGATGGCATGGCTGTTGAAAAGCAATCAAAAGCCATGATACACTCTATATTAACACTATTATAACTAGAGTCTGCATTATATACTGCCTCCAAGACTAATAATGAACCTTAAATCTTCAGTTACTATTTTCAGTACCATTAGCACCACCCATGAGTTCGGTAAAGAACGTGATATCCCAGAATTGAACCCAAAGGAGGGTGACTGACTCAGTAGAATACCAAGTTTCAACCCACTTCAATAAAGAGAACTGACCCAGGTTCCAGGTTTCAGTGTATTCAGCTGTATCATCAGTTTAGCAGCCTACTGAGCACAGACTCCACCTGGAACAGCAGCAGTGCTTACGGCTGGTGCTGAGTTAGCAGAAGAACCACTCGGTGAGTGACACAGGGGTAAAAGCAACAGTGAAGCAAGCTGCATGTAAGACTTTAAACAGTACTCATATGTCCAGCGTCCTTTTCTGAAACATTTCTGCTGTGAAATTCATACCCCTGAGCTTCTTGCGACCACAGTTCAGTTCCTTACATGGTATAAGTCCTTGGAGCTACTAGGTTTCTGGAAAACCACGCCTTTTTCTTGTAGCATCCTTATTGCTTCCTTAAAAACACTGTGAATCCTTTTGGAACTGGAGTCACTTTTTGACTTAACCTAGGTGGGACGAAAGGAATGAAGCAGATGGTGAGAAATCTCAGCCCAGCTGAAGTTACCAGCAAAAGCTCCAGATACTTTCAAGACCAAGAGGACTCCAAGTGATTTTGTTACACATTTTTCTTCATTTAGTAATTCACAAATCATATTTTTTATGTATGAACTGACCAACAACCCTGAACTTTAAAAAACAAACACACTCACCCCAGAAGTTTGTGCTATTCTTAAGCAACCACAATCTCTTAACTGCCTTCTGTGTACCTGGCAGCTCTTTGATGCTGTACTGAGAACTCTTTTGGAATAGGCTTGTAGTGTTCACAGAGCATTTGACTGTTTAGCTAATCAAGCTTTGTTCATATTCAGAGCTTTCCTAGTAATAAAAGTAGGAAGAAAGGGAGATCAGTGCTTTTAAGGTCATACTCAGGAGGAATCCAAGTGCTGGGGATTAGATTCCCATCTCCTAATTTGAAACTGAGGAAGTGTACAAGGAAAAGGGAGAAACTGGCAAGAATAGTATTTGCTTCTTGTCCCCTTTGTTTCCAAATTTTTGCACACGTTCTGGTCATGCTCTCAAGAGTTTCTTCACAGCCTAATGAAGCTGTGAAATGAAATTAAAGGATAAAGTGCATGCAAGAAATTAAAGATACAGGATAACGGAACAAAGGATGCCATTTGGAGGGCAGGTGGGACACAAGCCTTTTGTGAAGGGGGACAAGGAGGTCCATAACTAAGAATGTTATTTAGAACAAGGGATACTGTGTTTGGGACACATCTGACAGAGCAGGAAGATGAGGGGAAAAAAAAACATCAGGGGAAAAGCAGTTTGTTTGGAAGTAGGGCAGAACTAAGACAGTGGAATGACAGCTAGGGAAGTGGAAAGAGATAAAGAATCAGTTGTGGAGAGGAGAAAGTATGGGTAGACAAGAGCAAGACCATGACTTCTCCATCTGTCCTTCAACCTCCTATGTATCTGCACAGGCTGCTTTAATTCCCCAGTTGTTGTTTCCTCATCAGTTGGGAGCACACTGTGCTCCTTGTGGTTTTCTTTGAGACCAGAGCTAAACTCCTTCCCACAAATCAACATGTGATAGCTAGAACCACACCAGAGCAACCAAAGCAAGATTTGCCAAGCCAATTCTTCAGCTATCACCATAAATGCTCCCACCCTGTTCTGAAAAAAAGGATCAGACTTCACATATCCTACTTCACTCACCAGATGTACTCACCAAAGCCTTGGGAGTGAAACAGGCAACCACCAGGCACTAGAATGAATTCATGTGAGTATGTGAAATAGAGCCCACATAAGCAATGGAAGAATATCTTGCAATTAAATGTTTATTCAAACCATTTGCATGTCTCACATGAAACTCCAACTGCCTCTAAGCCTGGAAGCAGATGTGTCTAACTGGGAATTGTTCAGAGATCCAACAGGGATATCGGCACGCATCACAAGTTTCTCCATACCCTTCCTTCAGCTAATCATCAGTATTTCAACAGGACACAATCACATATCTCTCTCTCTCTCACTGCCCCACAACAGCTCACTTTTTCCTCTCAAATCAGCAGTCCAAAATAATTGCCTAACAGTTCAAGATAATTGTGATAGAACAATGGCTACTATTCTCAGTTCAGGTTTCTCCTGCTGTTCCAGAGGGAAGGACTTCTGTCCCCAAACATTCAACTATCCCACTGTCCACCACAGCTATATCAGTTTGGATGACAACAGATGCTGCTTCTAATTACAAACTCAACCATACATCTGGACACTACTCCAGTAACAGCATTAATACCACTATCATGTTTCTCTTCATAGTGCCTCTTCTGATAAACTGAAGAAACAAACAAAATGTAGCAGGAGGTGTTAAGTGAAGAGTATTTTCTCATGGAAAAATAGATTCTCATAGCCATATGTAAAATGAAGAGACTTTGCCGCTCACTCAAATGCAGTAATAAATCCTTAAGAATCTAAAGAAACTGCTAGCAGAGCAACCACCTCAAGACTCTGATCAATTTTTAATGTGAAAGCAAACGTTTGGGGAGAAAAAAGATAAAAATATCTACAAAGAAGCAAGATAATTATTCAGTTTGGCTTAACACTGAGGAGCCGTCAGAAAAAGGAGATAATTAAAGCCAGACTCTGCGTGAACTGACACACAGCTCAGCCTGGATGGAGACTGAAACAGAATCGCTAAGAATGCAAGGCAAGGCACCGACAGAGTGCAAGCAGAGAGGCAGGCTTGGGAGCAGGAAAATAAGTGAGCAGCTGCTACATATCAGCACTCTCTCGTGAATGCTGCAGGGTCCACGGGAAAGGGCTCTGCAGCAGAAGGACAAGTGAGGACTCCTGCCCTCTTCAGAGGCTTGCGCGTTGTCCTGAAATGACAGGAAAATTTTAGAGTTTTTTTCCTAGTGTGCTCTAGAACATGCTTCCTCCTCTCCATCCCTCCAAGTAAAGCAATAATTAAGTTGCTTTGTGAACATAACCTAAAAATTACTTCATCTGTTCTTTTGGTCCACTCAGAATAACTTATAAATTTTCAGGATGAGATGCTGGAGATAACTACTACTTCCCAGTGCCTTATCACTTTATTTTATGCCAAACCAGGCCCTCATTTCCTCTGGACTTGGATCCCCCATCAGAGCCAATGTACACCTCAGCTTATGAATTAGTCTACTGAGCAGAAATCTACAGGAGACTGAACATAGGGCTATACACAGAAGAAATCTAGGACTATGAAATCCTACGAGATTTCACATGCCTGCTTTTATTTCATGAGGAGATTGAAAAGTACTTTCATTTCAACAATTATAAAGATGTATTGTAGCTGTTAACATAGCTCCTTTTCAGTCACAGCTTATTAGCCATCACTTTGCTTTTACAAAGCTTTTCATCTGAGAAATGCAGATATTAAGTAGTTTAACTGCTGATCCAAAGCACCAGCAAGATTTGAATCTGGATTTGTATTTACCTCTCACAATTTTACACCTCATTTTGCAAAATGCCCCCCTTTGGCATGCCTTAGCTTCAGGGTGCACAATTCCAGGTTCCCTGAAGTTCTGATGGCAGGGATTCACCCCACCCCCAAAAAAGGTCCTTTTCAAATAAACGAAGCTGTACATCCAAACACAGGAGCATCCAAAAATCATTCATCACTTTTGCAAAACATGTTTCACCCCTAGCCTCCAGCGAGAGAAGTGGCTATGAAATAACAATTTTACCATCAGTACCCTCCCTCTCAAGACCAGTCAAAGACTCTGTAGCAAAGCTAAGAAAAGAATCCATGTCTCCAGAATTAAGTTGGTATTTTAATCATTATATTGCATCTGATGGGTCTCACACAGCTTAGTGGGACAGTGCTGTGTAACCAGTTATTCTCAGATCTTTAAAAGACAAACTCTCTGTACAATTAACAACAGGTCAAAAAATGAAGCGATACAGGAATTAGGCTGTTCAAAACACTGAAAGCATGTAACCTTTGGTTCATTATGAATCACAACACACCCTGACGGTGTTAAAGTTTCCTGGTATAACCACACATGTGATTCTACTCATGGAACTGCCCTTTGCAGTTTCTCATGCAGTGTTTAATCCTTGGCTTAGACAGGTGACAATTTCAGTAATAGCGATTCTGGACATGTCAGTCCTGAAGTCCTATAATAAGCTTTGCAATTTACATATTATAGTAGCAGTAAAGCCTCCTCAAGAGGCAGGGAGACAAGCATATACCAAATGCACTATGTTATAGCTACAGTACAATCTACATGGTATATACAGTAAGTGTGAACAACACTGTAAAGCTCCCTGCTTTAACTACTTGTCATTGACTACTACTGACCTTGAGATAATATTCAAATCAAGAGAAGAACAAGCAGCAGAGTCTGGAAAGCGCGGCCCAAGTCGCGTGCCCAAGCTAGTGACACACACAGGCTGGAATGGTCACTCTGAAATGGCACACACTATAGCTTACACACAGCTGCACACAGATGGTTAACCAAGGCTGGCTGGTTGCAAGTCATATTTAATCCAGTTGAGAAACTGGATGGATCAAGTTCACATGTAGTTTTCTTTTAAAAAAATGGAACCAAAGGCTTATCCATTTGCCAAACATAATTGCCTAAGTCTGGAACTCTCTAGGTTCTCTAAGCACAAGATTACTTTTTCTGGCTTTTATTTGTTTCAGTTTTGTTGGTGGGTGGTTGTTTTTTTTGGCTTAATTTTTTTTTTTTGGCTTGTTCTCTTCCTTGTGGCACCCACCCCACTAGCCTCAAAACTAATTTGTTTTAAGGGATAAGGAAAAGACTACAGCTTAGGAACAGAGCACTGGTTATGTGAAATAAAGCTCCTCTAGTTTTAAAAAACCTTTTTTAATTTGTTAATTTTTAATTATTTTTAAAAACACCAAGCCTTCCAATTCTCTAACCCATCCCCTCTAAGCTATAAAACTAAATGTTAGCTAGTATGTGTCTGAGCAGAGGACATGATTTGAGCTCAGAGGAAAATTTATTCTGGAGACCCAGAAGACTGCACTGCTAGGGAGCCATTAGGACTGGAACCAGGTATCATGGGACATGTATAGGACGTGGACAGGGCTGAGGCACAGCAATGCTGAAAAGGAACAGAGATGCTGCCTACCTCAAGCTATCCCAGCTACCTGCTTCCATCTTCACCCCTGGCTCTGCTCCACTACTAGTGACACTACAGCTGTTCACCACCTCCCTGGAAAAGATATTCTATAGGGAGATACCCTCTGAATGCTGTGCAAGTACTTTAAAAGCTGGGAAAGAGATGAAGGGAATGCATCATGTCTCCTACTACCACCAGGAGAGGAAGAGAGGCAAGAAAAGAGTTTAACAGCAACTGTGCTCTACAACACTGGAATTAAGGTCAAAAAAAAAAAAAGCTATACATCCAAATAACTCATTCTTCCACATCCAAGAAAAGTGCAAGAAGTGAATATGTGGGTATATTGTAGCATGGCCTAATTAGTTTGGTCCACTCATCCAGCTCTGGCATTGCCAAATAGGCCTGAAATAACATTGTTCCACATTAGCAGCACCCTTTATCCTTTTGGTTCCAGAGTGATGCAAACCAGAAAACTACAGAGGTGAGGAAAAGAAAGGAAGAGGGACAGAAATCAGATCTACTACACTTATTTTGTGGATCAAAGTGAGTAGCTGACCCTTTGCCAGTTACTGGAAGTGATTCCTTCAAAAGACAGAGCAGAGGAACAAAGAAATGTATTTCCAGAACATTACTAGGCACTCCTCTGGCATTCAGGTCACTTGACAACTGCAGGTTCTTTCTTATGCAAAGATACATAAGCCTCTTTGCAAGGAATTAATACCAAAGGGAATAGGGAGAACTGTAATTTCTAAATAAGCATCTCTGTGCTCAAATTCCTGGGACACATACTCACATCCTTGCATCAGGGTCAGGAGCAACTATTAATTATTGTGATAGCTCCTTCTGACAGCTAACAATGCTGATGATGTGTTGATTTTGTTGCTGGGTTGGTGTGGGGATTTCTGTTTGTTTTGGTTGGTTGGTTTTGGTTATGTTGTTGTGTTTTTTTTTTTTAATTATTATTTTGGTTTGTTTCCTTTGGGGGGGATAGTGGATAGTATGTTCTGCCTTTCTATGTTTGTTCTGCACCAGTTCCTACTTCAAATAGCTTTACATGTTATTCATCTTGATCTTTCTATAAATGCTGAAACTTCAAAGATGGAAGTTTCCAGAATTAGTCAAAGTCCACTACCTTCTGCTTATGTAAAGTGTTTGGGAACTTTTAATGTTGTTCCAGCTAGCTTTGAAAAACCCTCTATCCCATGTTGGATATTCTAGTATCAAACTTCTCTGTTAAAAATGAGAGTAGCTCCTGTTATTTTTTGTATCCATACTCTCTTTAAAGCAAACCACAAAAATGCCTTTAATAAAAATAAAAGAAACAGCTATCAAGAAGCAGATATCAGAAGTAGTTCAACAAGTCCAACAAGAATAGAGCTACTTTCATCATTATTTGACCTTATCTACAAGGCTTTTCTGTTTGTTTTTTTTTGGTTTTTTTAAGAATGAAACAAACATCAGATGTTAACATAAAACTTAACGTTATAAGTGCGTATCAGTATTAGGCAGTGAAAATGACTGCCCTGGATTTATTTCTTTACAGAAAACCAAACAGTAAACAAGTGAGTCACAACACTCAAGTTTCAGTTGCCATTGGTAACATGGTAAAAGCCCTAACACCATTACTTTTGCAGAAATTTATCACTTCATGTCAGTTCAGAACCCGGTTTGCAATTTACCTAAATAACACAGTAATATAAAGCCATTTTACAAAATGCTTTCTGTTCTATTTCCTGTTCTGCAGTTGATGAGGAGCATACTGTCTCACTGGAAGGTTTCTCAACAGTTTGGTTATACACAACTGCATGTAAACTGATTTCTGTTAAATCCCACCTTCTGATCCTTTCCATCGCAGCCGTTCACAGGGGAGCACTGCTCACCAACTCATTACGATCTTCTTTGGAAAGTTACACCTCTATTAGTACACTGAGCTTCAAACGAGAAACAAGACAAAGACTTGGTGCTCCCTTCTGATCAAATGCAGAACCTCAAACATCTGTCCCAAACAGCTTGGGCACCTTAAGGGGATCTGCTTTCCTGAGACCACCACTATTTACAGATCTAGGAAAGCTAGTGCCTGTTGCAGACTGTAAGGTTGCTCAGCCCTAATACAAGATTACCCTTTAATATAGAATTTTTTCATATGGCTTTCTTCAGTCCACTTTTACATGGCTCAAGTGACAGTTCCCTCAAGCTCTGTAAATAATTCATGCATAAAGCTAAAGCACTTGTGTGTTTTGAATCCTCTGAAGACATCAGTCTTTTATCTGGTTGTTTATGATAAAAAAAAAAAAAGGTACATGGTATTATTTCCCCATCACTAAAAACCTGAAACAGTTACAGCCACTCACCTCCTGACAGCTGGGACTGGGTAGATGTACACCAGTCAGGGACACCAGAGCATCAATTGTTTCCAGCTCCTGTTGGTAAAAGGTCTGTATTTTGTTTTCTAATAGAAAGCATTTCACTTTCTCATGCAGCATATTGATTGTGAAATTCTGACCCTCCAGGCCACTACAAGGATACACAGAACATGTCAAAAGTCAAGATAAACACTAATAAGATTTAGAACAATTACCTAAAGTTAGCCTGCTATACGGGTTTTCAAACATCAGAAACATTTTACTGTCCTTAAAAAAAAAAAAGTGAATTTTAGCCCTTATTTAAAACAGACCTTTTTAAGATGCAATATATATCCAACCGTTCCTCTCCAATCATTTGCTGTAACAGTGCTGTGGTTTTAAGATCTGCAATCTCTGAAACCATGCTACATGCAGTTACTCTTAAACGGAATACAGGAATGGATGCTTGAGATAATCTATTTGTGATTTGACAAGGGCCACAAAAGTTGAGAGCATTTGAATGTTATAGCTCCTTATCCTTACACAGAAGGTCAGGCAAGGACCCTCCTCTACCTATCTGTTGACCTCACCCCCAAATCTTGCTTAAAATCACAGCTTTTTTTTTTTTTTTTAACTAGATGGAAGAGGCCTGTACACAATATTTTACTACCTACCTAATATTCACTTTGGTTCAGCATTCTGTTTCTTCTCTGAAATTATGGACAGGTATCTTATCTGTATGGATCATCAGTTATTTGGGAGAAAAGCAGACTGCTACTGTAAGCTTGTGCAGAGCCTAAATCACAGTCCGGCCCTGTTCTATTTTTCTCCAATCATTACAATAATAAATAGACAATATAAAATCCCACATTTTTCCCCCAGACCAGTCTGGATACTGCATTTACCTCTGTCCCTCCTTGGGGGCTTGAAAAGGTTTATCATAAACTTCTCTATAGAGACAGGGGAGTTCCAGCATTCTCGATATCTGAACATCACACACAGGATCATCCACTTTATCTGGAGTGGCAAAAACAACACACGCTTGGCCAGGGCTGCCATACCAATCTCTTAAGCAAGAATATCCGAGGCACAAAACAGAGCATCATGTACCAATATTCAACTGGCAAATTTTGTTCCCTGTTCTTTTTAAAAACCCACAAAGGCCACTCCTTTTACAATTTACAAGGAGGTAAATTACTCGTTGCAGATGATGCTTTTGTCTGACAACTTATTTAACCAGAATTTATGATCTCCATTTTACCTTTCATCAGTCTTCATCCATTAGATGAAGTTAGCTTCCATTAGAAGTTAACACATAGTAAGGAGCTTTAAGCCCAAGTGAAAGCAATTTAACAGGTATTTGAATTGTGTGGCTCTCTTTTAATGAAACAATGGTATTACCAGCCCCTGAATGGGTTATATATTCATAAATCTTCTCTCTGGAAAGAAAGGTTGAATTTCCACTCATATTTAGCGAGAGTTGAAAGATCTAGGCTTTTTATTTGAGCTACACCATGTTTTTAGAAGATGGGCTTCCCTCTCCAAGGAATCAGTATTATCTCTGAAAGCTTTCACTGAGAAAAACCAACCCCAATAACACAGACACAGAGCAGAGAAGAATGTATGCAACTGGAAGCTCCTGAGGTATAAAACGATGGACTGGAGAACCTTTCTGTCCAAAGAGCTGTCAGATACAGGGGCAGCACCTGTATGCAGATCTGTGCCTGTGTGACTGAAGATCAGGAACACTCCTCAGTCACTCTGCAGAGCCAGACAGTTTAGGTGAACCTGGGCTTCATTGGTACAGTGTGCCCATATGCTGCTCTCTGCCCATGGAATGGATTATATAGCTGCAACAAACAGCAACCCTTTCTCCAAAGCAGCTAATGCTCTTCATGAAGCATGACATCAAAGGTCATCAACTCCCTACTCAACTTTGGCTGTTCTGCTTCAACACAGAGAAAACTGAAGAGCAAGTCACTCTCGCAGCCATTCAGCCACAGTGTCTGTGTAGTACTCTCGTATGCATGCTAGTCATCTTCTCCAGATTCTCCAGGAGTGCCTTATTTACAGCCTATCTAATCCCACATATTAAGTAGTGTGTCTTCTAACCTTACACTACTAAAATCAAAATAAAAGCCATACAGATGAAAATATCTTTAGAAAAAGTGAGATGCTAGAAAATAACGTGGAAATTATTCAATTAATTACACAGCTTAGATCTTCTCACAAATGCAGACAACTACGTTATACATCACAGATCTGTAACACTCACAAAAACACGAGGCCTGAATTTCTCTTTGTTGCCTGTAGGTTCGGATGTGACCTCTGACCCTGACAACATCCCCAATCTCCAGCTTGGTTTTCTGACTCACCATTTCTTGGAGTTTCTTCATCTGTTCAAGCACAATAAGACTGCTGGGTGTGCTTGAATGACCTGCAAGAAGTGAGGGAAAGGAGATCAGGCATGAAGGCCAAGAGGACTGTCCTTATGGATTCATCCAAACACCTAAGCATTACAGGAGTCATTCTACTGAAAAAGGGTAAGGTCCCAGGCACCATGTGTCCTGGGTAGCAAAACTTTTCAGTGACAAAGTTACCTTACAGTATTATATTTATTTAAATATTTCACCTGGGGAAAGTGTAAAAGGAAGAAGATACTGAACTACCACTAAAAGTGTCATAGATGGGTTGCAAAATTGAAACATGAATTTGAATTGGGTTTTGTAATTTTATTTTTTTTTTTTTGTCTTGTTAAGATGGATGAAAGGGGAAAAGAAAGGTCAGCTGAGCTTCTTAGAAGAATGAGTCATCTGAGGTGGGGCCAAAGTATTCATGTGATGCAATTTGATGTCTACGCTGCGGTGAACACAACTTGACAGAACTTCACGTTCACAGAACACACCTCTGCAGAGAGCAAGTTGTTCATAACTTAAAACCTGATTAAGGATCCAGGTATCCCTGATCACAATTACAAAAGGCTGGAAGAAAGTTTCCTGTGCGCCCTGGGAGCTGTTTTCTTTACCAGGTACAAATTAATTAATTTCCATTAATAACACAGTGACCGTTTAAGCACTGCTGATGTACACGCAAAATAAGAACACAAGGCTGAAATGAGCTTTGTGGGTGCTCATTCTATTTCAAGCAGTATTTCATGCAATACCTTTAATGAATTTAAGTTTCTCAAAAGAAAATATTTGATTGTAGGTCCCCATGATTTTTTTGTGAAGGCTGTGTCACAACATAACCTCTCTAATAATGAGAGCTGTCTTCTAGAATCCAGTTGGGATTGTTTATTGCACTTGTCATATCATTGTCAAATGTAAGTAACTATGAATTATCTGTCTTTCTAAATGGGCTGGTTCCACAGACATTCTGTTTTTTAACTTTTACATAAACCTATTCTTTCCTCATTTTATGTGTATGTAACCCTAACACTGGCAAAACATATTAGTAACATTTATTTCAGTAGGATTTGCTCAGCTCCGTATCAGGGCTGTCCATATACTACATAAGCTTTCAAAAAAGGCCAACGAAAGTATTCCATATTTTGTTCTATGAGAAATTGTGGAAGAAAAAACAGAAAACCATATGCCAGCAAGTTCTTTGGTTAAGCGCATTAACAGATTCATTTCAAATACACAATTTCTGCACACTTAGAACTCCCAAATCATAAGACTGCTGGTATCCTCTCACTGTGTTTTAAGGCACTTCAAATTCATCACTGACAGTATATGCATAACCAGGAGAATATGAACGCAAAGAAGAGAAGATGAATCCTAAAATGACTATATCACAAGGAGGGGAACATGTACCAGGTTGCTGGTTTGGGATTGACTTTGGAACTAGAACTGATGGCATGTGGCAAGACTTCCAGCCTAGTTCCTCACTAGACAAATTCACAAAAAGAACCACAGGAAGAGAATTCTCTGAACAGCATAGAATTGAAATACTGTATTACTCAGATAAGGAAAAAGCACAACAGGTCATAATGTAGTGGGTTTTTTGGCACCACCACTGTACACAACACAAAAAGTAATATGAAACTCCCAGAACGGCCCAGGCTGCAGGAAGCAATGGTTTAAAATTATACAGAAACCCCAAAGAGCTGAATTTGCTCTTCTACAAGTTTGATCTTTTACTAAATTATCTAAGATACATATGAGCAAAAATGTACAGACAAACAAGAAATTACTTGATACATTACCTGATAAAGATGTTTCTGCTACCATGAGATTTTTCCAGCAGACACAATTTATAACTCCAGTACTATCATCCACTGAAAAAAAAAAAAAGGCAAGAAATAGAGAGTAAGAAATCAGGTAGTGACATTGCAAGAAGTGAAGATACAGAGATATGTAGGGAGATGACTGCCAAGGATATCTCATTCCAACTAGTCTGAAAGGGAAAGTGGGTGCTCAGTCCCTACTTATACCTCTGAAATAATTTCCACATCTTTTTCAGTCATGGAGGTAGCTCAGCATCAGATAATATGCTTATGTGCATGGTTAGCAAAGTAATATGTATATTCTCAGAAAAGATCAATCAATAAATTATGAGGCTTCAGTACATATATTGAATACTAAAGGGTTTTAATCTCATTGACAAGGTCAGAAGAACAATCAGTATTGAAAGGGGAATCCAGGCAAATTAAAACTGGAAACCAGGCACAAAACACAGAAGCATTGCATCCGTGGAAACAGCACTTCAGCACTGAGGGTATGGGCATGTGGGGAGAGGGACAGTGCTGCTACTTCCAGCTGCTCTGGTTTCCAGGCTAATACTGTGCACAGTCTGCTGGCCTTTCCTGTACAAGATGATGTTCCAGAGAGCAGAAAGGCAGCTCCTCTAGCCAGGAAGGACAGAGGATAGCACATACTTGTGGTTCTGCTCTAGGTCAGGAATTCCCAACTTAGAGTGCATGTATTGGTGGTGTGCAAGCCACTTCGCTTGCTGAAAAAGCTTAACACCTCCTGCTCAGGGGAGCTATCTAGCTTTTCCTGTTTCGCTGGTATCCAGTCAAAATAAGTTTTGTGATTTCTGCCCCAGGCACTGCCTTGTCAAGGATGGCAGAAAAAGACAAAACCCAACAAAGAAAACAAACAAACCAACCCTTTCAGAAGAATTAGTTGTTCTACTTCTCAAGAGACTATATAGCTGCCATGTCCAGCAAACACTCTCCAAATAGGAAGGCACTAGACCTCTGTCAGAATCCAGCAAGGATGGAATTTCATGTCCAGCTAACACAGTCTGAGTACCTTGCTCTTTGAATGTAAACATCTCCAAGACTGAGCTTCCACTCTCCATAAACTGGAATCCGCAATTTTCTTCTGCCCCTTAAAGCATATCCATGACTACAACAGCAACAGCAATGTTTAGCAGGAAGCTGTTGATTGATACCTGCAGTCTTCTCCTCTGGGAACCATAGCATCAAAGCAAAATGCCTTTGCATTGTCTCACGTGTTTTGAAACAATCTCCCTATTTGGGGGGGTCCAATTTCAAATAATTGTCTTGCCTTCCTGCTTCCCAGTAGCTTAGCTGTACATTCCTAATAGCAAACATACAGCATTTTTAAGATGCAGGCAATTCCAAATTCTATCACAAAAGTATGTTCAGCTCATCACTATCCCCCTTTTGAGCTGCTGTGTCTGCCAATAATTCAGCAGCTTTAGTTTTGTACCAGGGCATAGATAATGATCTAGTTGATAGGATTTCCTCTCCTTGGTATACATAAAAAGCAATTATTTGAGTAGGAGTCAGGGTCCCCATGCCAAGCCACGCATGTGAGCCAGCAATGGCAATAAGAAACAGGGCAGGTGACATTTCACCATTACATTACTGCAGCTTCTAGATGTTCCAGTTTGTTGCACCAACTGCGACAAGCAGGCTTCTTAAGAACAGCTTAGAAATAAAACAAACAAGACTGAAGGATTAGGAAGACTCCTTCTCAGCGTAACAGCTGAAAATTAAGTCCTGGGAAGACTGACCTGTTCTTGACCGCACAGGGAGTCTAGTAGCAGAGCAAGGCTCTGAAACAAAAAGACAAATAACTCCTAAAAGCAGAGATGAATGGGGACTCTTACAATTGTATTCTAATCAGACAGGAGAATGTTGATCTATTTTAAATGCACTCAGGGGTACTACAAGATTTTGAAAACTTCCTGTGCTCCCTGGGACGTTCTTCCTCATCTCCTTGGGTTCAAACTTTTGTTTGTTTGGGTTTTCGTGGGCTTGGTTTGGTTGGTTTTTTTGACTCTTAGATTAAATATTCGATGGATAGCACTCTCAAAGCTACCTGGTAAATGAGATAATTGTGTGTATTTTTATTCCTTTATTAAAAAAAGGGTATGATTCTTGTGTGGCCTACGTGAGCCTTATGGCATCCCAGTGAGATTTTTGTTTGTTTGCTTTTAAGGCAAGTGCCTTTCAGCCTTTCAAAACAGTTCTGGAGTATAAGGAAAACCACATGTGATGTTTGGTTAAAACTGAAATAAAAAAAAAAAAAGGCCAGAAAGGTGCATTTACTAAAATATGACCTTGTTCAAAGCCACACTTTAATTACATATCTTTCTCCTAATTGATCATAATAATAGCAACAATCAAATCAAAATGTCAAAATCTGGTTTTATACACCATGTAATTCTAAGATTATTTTTTTTAAGCTAGGAAAAAAGAGTCAGTTCACTCACTTTTGCAATTAGTGTTTTGTCACCAGTTCTGGCTATATGGTTTTCAGCACAGAGAGGACCTAAGATTCTTTTAAAATAAGCAGTGTGTAATCTGAAGCAGACAGATAGGAAATGGGGGGAGGCAGTGGCAGTGACACAAAGACATTTCAGTTCTCTATCAAAGAAAACGTACAAAGGGGGAATTGCTTTGTAAGTCACTTTTAAGCTGACAGAAAGTGAGGGAGTGCTGAGCAGCGTATAGCACTCCAGCTGATGCAACGGCTGCTCTGTGACTCACCAGCCAGAGTCTGTTCAACTGAGAGATGCAAGAAGTGACAAGCAGCAAACTGTCTAAGAAGTTACAACTTTAGGGTGGTGGAGTGAGCCTGACTGAAAGGGAGGGCAGGCTGGGGAGGGGCACCCTGGCAGGTAGCCTGAAAGCTCAAAACTGCTGGAACAAAGAGTGGAGTTGGATGTGAAAGGACAGCAGGAAGCCCGGCTGGCTAAGAGCTGTACTTAAAGGTCAGCTGATCTAACACCAAGTCCTTAATTCCACTACTCTGCAGTTTTTTATTGCTATTCCTCCATTTTCTGCCCCAGCCAAACACTTCCAACAAGTTTACACCCAAACTAATGCTGAAAGCAGTATAGGAATCCTTTGCCCATAGAACTGTTTTTGCCTTGGTCATTTTTATTGTTTTCCTCTGTTCTCATGAAGTGGTAACTGCCTTTGCATACTAGTGCAACAAAATAATAGCTGACATTGTTTGTTTCAACACCCCATTACATCATCAATTACCTCCACCTCTTAACTTAGGTGCTTGTTTAGCCTGTGCTACTTCAAGTACCAGAGAAACTTGTGCTTCAAAATATGCAGCTTAGTAACAAACATCCAGAAATTACACCTCAAAAATCTATAAAAATATCTACTCTAAGAAACTTGCAGGGACATTTCTACAGAGCACAGGGTCAGCTCCAAGCAGCCATACCCAGTGCAGGCTGTGCTATATGCAGCAGCAGTTAATATTACTCCATAGCAGCATGATGCAACTGCAGATGTTGTGGAAGCTGGGACTCAGTTAAGTTGTCAACTCTATCTTCACAATACTCTTGAGTCAGGGAGTTGCTGCTGACTCAATTCTATAAGTGAAGAAATGGGATAAGAAGCAGCACTCCATGACTTACCTCCATCAGGTAGAAACCCATGACTCAGGAAGACACAGGACACAAGTCCTTTGAGTGCTTCAGTAGGATCTATGCATTTGGCTCTCCCTTCCTACTGTGAGATGACCTCCCCCCCGCTTTTGAAACTTGCCACATCACCACTACTCCACTCTTCCTTTTCTCCAGATGAAAAACACAGCTGAGCAAAATGACAATCAGATGTTTCCATGCTAATAAAATAGTCTGAATATTGGGGAAAAGCAATCCAGAGGAGATAAGTCTCAGCTGGTGAGGGCAAGGACTGGTACTATGATGCTTGAGTTAGATTTGCCAAGACTCTTCACATTTAAATATAAACAAGCTCCTGACTGCTATTAAAAGCCTTCTCCAAGATATTAAAACAAACCTACAAAATGTCAGAAGGGATTTCTAAGGTTCAAAAAAGGAAGAAGTGACTTCCCATTTGCAGGCACTATCAAACCCATTTACATCTTACCAAAGGAACTACACGTATATGTATACATGTATCTGAGAGGAAGATAGTGGAGTCCATTGACAAAGCAATAACCAAAATTAACATTTGCTAAATGATCCCAAATGCATCAGTTACTCTGTTTTAACTACTTGTTTCTCTACTTTTGACTTGGAGATAAAACAGTAGCTTTCCTAACTTTCTAGGTAATCTGAGCTGCAGATATACATTATATTAGGAAAAGGGCACAGCTGTTTCAAGGACAATAATCAAATAAGGCAACATTTAAGTTCTAGTAGTACCTAAGGCTAGAAGGCTGATAAGTGCAAGAAGAAAGAAGCTTCTCTTACCTCCATAATTATAAAAGGCATCTCGTTCTTTTGTTTGAACCACCATCCCAACAACATCCACCTGTCTTATTGGATGTCCATTATAAAAGAATATACCTAGACACAGAACACGCTTGGTAAGTGGTAACCATTGCTTTCAACATCCTATCCTACACACTCACATTTGTCAGTAAAAAACATACTTTCTTACTTATTTAATATAGCTTAAATTATACAATGCCTGGTCATGTGAAAAATCCCCTGAGTCAGCTAGGACTGGGAACACTACAAGGAAGAAGCATCAGCTCTACTTAGGATATGAAAAGCTTGCCTTTGCAGAGTGTCAGAACTTTACTAACCTTTTATTTTCTGAAAAACTTTCCTGCAGGCAATAGAGTTGAGGGGTTAAAATTTTTTTTTTCTCTTTCATTTTGGTTGCTTTTTCTTTTCTTCTCCCCCGCTACATCTTCATCAGTCTTCAGAATAAATAATAGAACACAATGGCAGCAGTCTGAGCTTCTCACAATGCAGCTGTTCCCGATTAAGGCAAAGCCTCCAAAAGGAAAACTGACATAATTCTGTCTTTCATTTCTAAAAGAACAGGAGCCATGGGGGGCAGGAGGAGAGGAACAACTCTCTTAGACTGCAGAGTACACCATGCATTCATTGTGGACAGCATCTTGAACTTCAGTTTCTGAAATAACTTGTTCTAAAAACTTCCCTTCAGAGCTATTTTTGTGCATCTATAAAGATAACTTGAATAACACATGAAGCCATATTCAGGAAACAGTGAGAAATCAGAGACCATGGGACTTTGACAGCACTGAGGTTGCCACATGTTGTAATCTCTTTCAAGAGAGTGACAAGCGTTGTTAACAAATACTGATGTAAACTATTCACTGAAGCCTCACAGTTCACTGGCAGGAGGATAATAGGGAAATAACCTCCAGATATATCCTGGACTGGCTAATTTTCAGTCAATGTGTTTTCTTCAGTTTCCAAATACTGCTTCTTTACTGAAATATGCCATCTGGGATGTTCAATAACGGTCTTCTAAAAACTAGATAAGTCAAGGCACTCAGAAGGGAACATTTGGCTCCATACACTGTGGTAAGCCTTATTCTTACAAAGGGAAAGATAAACACTACAGCAAGAGAGTCATAAAAATGTTCTGTATTAAAAAAAAGATTTAAACCAAAATCCAAAAATAACTCGTCCTACATAGCTAGCAGCCTTAAATAAGCCTGGAATTAACTTTTGTTACATAAGAAAGACAAAAATCCCAAAGTTTCAGAAGAACTTACAGGTGAAGAGCCAAGCAGGTGACAAAAATTCGCTGCAATGATTTGAGAATACATCTATGGCTGTTGTCTTAGAGCTGGCTATACTAAATGAGCAGTCACTGGTCAGGCCTGGCATAGAGAATGTTTAGTAAGTCTGTCTACTGTTATCTCATTCCATTTCCTAGGACACCAATAAACACTGCCATAGAAACCCTCAATGGACCTGCTCCTGGTATATATGATTATCCACTAAACCTTTCAAAGTCTCTATAAAAGAAGGTCTGGGTCAGTTTCTGGGTAAGTCTATGGAACAGAGACTCCAAGCTCTTGACTGTGCAAACAAGCAACATTGTTTACTTCCCAGTTAGTAAACTAGGTTTTGGCAAATGATGTAGATCAGATAAAACTAGTTCTCTCCATCCCCATAAAGTGACATCTCTTAGAAACTACCCGAATTCATTTGAGAGATAAAGTTATATTTTCTCTATTAAAATGTGTTGAACTTGATGAATTCAAGGTGTAAATTGTTTCTCCTCCATATCTGTTCTAATTATGTTCATATTGGTAGTACTAAAAATACCCTAAACATGTGAAGCTATGTGCAAGCACATTCAGCTCCTAATCCAGTAAATGACTCACACATTAATAGGCTGTTACCACAACAGGAAGCCATAGCAGCAGTATAGGGACTATAGACAGAGAGATCTCTAGGGCAAATTCTGGTCATGTCTTTAGTAGCATTACTGAGCACTGAGCTGTTTGCCATTGCTTTAATTATTATTACCCCCTTTTACGCTATTTGTAGCTTCCCCTGCTTGTTGATAAGCTGTCACAATGCAGCGGAGCACTCAGAGTAACTCTGAGAAAAGCTCGTTTCCATGATGTGATTATGTGTTACAACCGAGTTTGACACCCACTCTCATTTCAAGGCCCCCAAGACAACACAATTGCTGTTTTTATCTGGGAGGTTTTCCAGCCTTCTTGTCACCCTTTATAGCAAGACAGTAACTGGCCAGGTTTACTGCTTTCCTCTGTGGTGGTTGGGTTTGGTTGTGGTTTTTTTTTTTTTTAGGAATTAGTCATTGTGGCATCAAATCCTAACACTTAAAAATGAAAACAAAAAAAGCAAAACTTATTAGGTCATTCAGTCCATTTCCTCAGGGCCAATGCAAGACTGTTTCATACAGTAAATTCCTGGCAATCTGTACAGTCAGGATATAAATAATCCCCACGAAGGGGATCCCACCTTCTTCCTGGGAAAGCCGCTCCCAGATGTCATTCTAAGGATGTTTTTCCTGACATTCAGTCTGTGTTTCTTTCCATTCCTCCTAGTTACAATGCTTTGTTTTGCACTCATTCATTACTACCATTACTTAATGACTGATTTATAGCCAATCATATGCTTAGCATCAGCTGGTCTTTAACAAACCCATTAATGGCAGGAAGCATTGACAGCAAACATCTACCTTCTTCCTTCCACAAACGATAATTTCCTAGTGTTTCTGTTGTGCTATCATTTGTTGCCAATAACTAAGATATACTGAAAAACGTCTGGTTTGCTATATACACAACACCAGGAGAATTAACAAAATTCAGGATGTTCCTTCTATGAAATTTCATTTTACTCTTCAAAGTTTGGTTTAGAAAATGATACTGGATTGCAAGCAAGCTTCGTTGTGCAAAATGCCAGATGCACAGGAAGTGGAGAAAGCCTGCATGCACCAGTTCTAAAGGCTGACATCTTGACATAGCAGATACCACTTCCTCTGGAACTCTTAGAAAAAAAGAATAATAAGAAACCTGAAAGAGTTCTTGAAGCAGAAGACAACTCACTTAAGTATATGAACAGGAAGGGAAATGAGAAGGGAACTTCAAGTAATTTAGAGGTGAGAAGAAGAGAGCAGGATTGCACTTTCTAGGATTGTTCCTGCTCTTGTGAGCTGTTTGTGGATGTTTATAAGTTTAAATATTCTGAATATATTTTTACATGCGTATGTACTAATGTCCAAACAACAGTCCTGTTACACTGACTTTGTTTTCAAACAAAACCCAAATTAGCTCAATTAAAATGGCTCTAACAGAAGCAGGAACAATTTTCACCAGATGCATTTGGTACACCAGTACTACGAGAAGACTGCACACTAAAGAGGCCTCCAAGTACCACTCCAGTACAAATGTCAGCAACAGGCTGTAGTCTAATTCTTGCAGTGGATTTAAGGCAAAGGTCTCCCATCATGTTAAATACCAGAGGTATATATACACACTGGGCTTTGCAGTCTTTGAAGTCCCTGTGTACATAAAAATGGTTGCAAGTAGAGTAAAAAAACCACACAAGTCCTTAATTTCTGCAATAGCAGCATTGTTATTATCCTTGCTATTAAACAGAAATAAATAACAAACCTACAAGGCAGAGCATATTCAAAGAGCCAAACAGATGTACCTTGTCTCTGTGGGAGGAAGAAATAACACAAAACACCAAACCACACACAAACCTAAACACCCCAAAATCAAACCAAAACCACACACTTTGCTGAGGCTTTGCTGGTGTTTTTTGTGTGTGGTTTTTGTTTTGTTTTTTCTTCTTCTTTTTCTCTCTCCCTATTAGCTGTAAATTCCTTGGACTCCTCCCTGATAATCCTGAACCTTGTCAAGTTTCAGTTTGGAGCCATGAACCCTTCTACAGCAGAAAAGATGCTTCAGCCTATTTAAGTCTTTGTAGTGAAAACAGAAATTCAAGGTCAGACCCATGTTGCTTTAGACAACGTGAATATGTGGGTGACACTGGCTGAAGAACAGCAGGAAACAGACTGCAAAGCATACTATTTCCAACAAGGATTAGGAAATAAAAGGTATGGTAAAAAATTCAATATAGATGCCAGAATTTACAATAAGGTTGTTCAAATGTATGAATACTGATATGCACCTATCATATCTAGAAATTAAGCAAAGCCTCAAAACCTCCATTTGTTTTATAATGTAAATATAATATTTATATAATAAAACAATGTTTTATAATGTAATATAATTCATTAATATCCAGAGAAAAAAGCAGCACACAAACCCAGCAAGGTCACCAACTGCCAAAATTTTGCAACAGAGGCATAAAATACTTATCCATTACTGTAGAGACAGTGAGAAGATATAACACACATGGCCAGAAAGGACCGGCATTTTTAGACCTAACTTTACCAGAATGTAACAAGAACTACCACACAGAGTAAAGACAACATTAATGCAAAAGAAGTTCTGTATCTATAGATGAGAGGAAGAGGAATCATTAGAACGAACATATTTCATTTTTCACACATTTCACATACAACCTGTTATTCTTAGAACTGTTAAAGATATTAATGTCACTTGGCTTAGGGGCATGGAAAATTACTTTACTGGTGTTCATGAAGCATTCTGCAATCCCTCCATAAAGAGCACAACATAAATCAGTTACAATTCTGTGTGCATCATAACCAACTTGTGTAAGTACAAACCTGGCACTTGTTTAGATTCTCTCATTTCTTTTATATCTTTAATATAGAGTCTTGCAAATGCAGAAAATACAGGATCCAACCCCCAGTGCAGAGAAGGTGTCTCTTCTTCATACTTCTTGGACTCAGACTGCATTCAAAACCTGTGAACACAAAAGAACTTGTAATTATATTCTACACAGGTAAAGAGCTGTTCACGTATGTTCCAACAGAACGAAAAAATAGTTTGTGACTTTACACACAATAACACAGCAGAGCTGATGAAGAGATACAGGAACTCATCTCATACAACCTTATCTTAATGTCAACAGACGAAATATTCAAAGTATCAATACTGATGATTTACTTGAAGTACTGTGACTCCACAGCAACAGCATTTTTCCCAGTTCCTTCAAAAGAAATAGAATGTCAGGAATTTATGTACCCACAAGCAGAGAACCAAATACAACCCTCCTTTAAAAAGAGCAGGACTATGGGATACTAATTGCTTACTTTCTGTACACCTGATTATTTCTTACCCCTATTATTCTCTTTCCCTTCCCTAAGATACTCTTCTCATTGCTCATCATGTGCTTTGTTGCAGTGGTGGGGGAGGTTTATTTTATATAAAACAAAAGCTGCTGGCTCTTCTTTATTTTGGGCATACAGCCTCAAATAGCTTTGCAATTGTTACTGTCCCCTTTTACCTCCTCAGATTTCCCTGTTTAATGCCTGCTATCTTCTGCCACTACTACAGCCAATTCTCTGCTTATTACAAGGTTGATGTCAAAAAATGCAGCACTCAATTCAGGAAGGATCCTTGTAGAGATTTGGAAGATGAATAGATGTTTTGTTAGCTTCTCCTGTATGGAAAGCTGGATTATTACTGTTAAGCTTTCCAGTTCACCCTTGAATGGGTGTCAGCCACTTAGAGCTGTAGAGCAAAGGTGGTAAGTGGACTGATTTTGAATAGCATGTAATAGGGCTGAAATCTTCTCACTCAAGTCCCCCCATGAAGCACACTTTTGCTGCTAAATTGCAGACGCTGCTCAGTAGAAATTTATAAACTAAGCTGTTAACTGTACAATCTTAATGCAAGCTGCTCTTCCTCCATATGGCAGTTCTCTGGTTGCTTGCTATAGTCTGTATCAAATTTAGACCATAAACCTTCCCAGGTAAACGCATGATTTGAACCTCTATTTTACTCAGCATGCTCTCCAGTACAAAGCTGCCTGAATTCTCCCTTTGTTAATTGTGGAAGACAAGTAAGGGAAAAAAAAAAAAATCCAAAGAAAAGGGCATGGCAAATGAGAGGGGTTCACACAGCAATCGATGAACATACACACAGGCACGGCTACCTCATGAGTCGTAATAAAAAGAAGCACTCCTGGTCAGCATTGCACTGCCTCCCACCCACAAATGGGAACTTCTTAGCTATAATTTTGTTCTTCATGATGCTACAGTTCCTCAGCTAAAAGTGTCACTAAAAGTGTCACTTCCCCCATGACATGAAACATGGATACCATTGCATCCTTGTTCTCCAAGATCATCTCTTGTACAAAGTAATATTCCCTTCTGCACCATGCTCTCAGCTTACTCTGCATGGTTACAAAGTCTGCCATAGATCAGCACCCATTTTTTGTCCTAGACAGATGGAAGACTGAGCAAAAAAGACAAAAAAAAAATTAATGAGGTAACAAGCCAATTTTTGTATTATGTATGAACAGCCACTCATTGAAGTGATAAGCAGAAGTCACGCCTGCACATCTGTATATCTGATGGAAAAATCAATGAAGCAGCACCACTGGAGATCAAAAATATCTACACTTTGCTATTTCAGTAAACAGTTGCGAAGCGTGAAATGCCAAAACTTTAGCAGATAAGTAGCCAGAAGTCCAAACAACACTTCCAGTTTGACTGAAGCACCTCCACAGATATTTTACTGCTTCCCTGTACTGCAGAGAAGTATTTCTGCAGCAAAAGCTTTCTCTCTATTTCAGAAACTATTGGGAGCTAAATCTCAAATTCCAGAGCTTCCTTCTAGCTCCCAGGCCTTGTTACAGCTCTGCGCTGGAGACATTTACACCCTTTACTTCTATTCACATACAGAACCACTCCACTTGGTTCATGCCTGCTACAGACACACCAAGTTTAATCTTATAGATCTGGCAAAGCGTTCTTGATAAAAAGTAAATCACATCCCTAGCACTATGAAGGCATCATGAGATTTCTTGAAGTCCACAGGACAAACAATTACAGATGGTGTGTCCGCGCCAGGCTGGGACAGTGAAACCACACTGCAGCCACCCGCTTCCCTTCAGCAACGCCTGACAGGCACAGGAAGAGCTTTCTGCAGGGCAGTCTCCTCTTGTCTCTTCATGGTCCCAAGAGCTCATGCAAAACCAAGCCCATTTGCTTTCTTCCCTCCCAAGTGGCCACTTGGTAGCTACATTTGAATACATTTAAATGGTGACCTATTTAAAACCAAGAACTTGTGGCCTGCTGGGAGGAAAAGACATTTCCTGCCTCCTGTACTGCTTGCCTCCACACACTCCTATTACAAGTCCATTCTTCTCAAGGTGTTAACAGCAGTTGACCGTTTGCTCCTACAGCAAAGGAAGATCTTAAGTCAGATAAGCAGCCCTTTCCAAGGCATTTATTTTCCAGTTGGTTTCCAAGCTTGTTTCAGGTGGATCAATAAGCAGACTGAAAACATAATTCCCACAAGCCAGATAAAACTCTTTCAAACAATTTCTCTTTTGCTATGTAATAGTATAGCCCCATTACTTTTTCTTACACTGGCACAGGAAGCCTCTCCATCCCAGGCAGAAAATCCCAGGGGTTAATCAATCGGTGAGTCATCCTGGCAAAAGTGTAACTTTCCATTATGCTGGAAGTGTTTTCAGCTCCGAACGGGTACCACTGGTGATATGCTATCAGCAAGGAAGATAACAGTGCCCTGTACAATGAAGATCCAAGGGGCAAACAGCAGGCATTGTGGAGAGGCACAGCACCGTGGTCAGTGAGAACACTGATGGCTAACAATAGACAATTCTGAACAGATAACATGTATACGAATGTTTAAGGATTAAATCTGCTTTTGCTGAAAGATGGTGATAAAGCTTAACAATACTAACAACACAGGGTCCTAGCAAAAGGTCATCCCTCTCTGCATTCTGTTGCAAATGCAGTGTAATGACTTCACAGTTGCTGTAATGCAAGGAATTCAATCCTGCTACAGGAGAAAAAACGGCAAGAGAAGCATCTAGTCCACAAGTTTATTTAGATATAAGATACCTGTGTTCTTTTTGCCTCTCTATAAAATAACTCCAAAGAAAGGCTATAAAGGCATACTCAATAACAAAAACAGAATTAAGTTCTGCTATTTGGACCAATTCTTAGGAAAATTATATTCTTTCAAAGGAAAAAAAAACAAACTTTACAAAGTAGTGATCTAAATACAAGCAAACAAAAAAAACAACTCAATCTGAGATTATTCTAGACACTATTAACCTGATAAAATAAGGCAGCCTCTTTCACCTCCTGCTATCAGTGGTGGCTTTTCTGACTGTGATGAAAATTAAACCAAGTCCATAATCCTCTGTTTCCTTCTGAGCTCAGCAAGGTATTATCCTAAAGGGACAGAAGGGAAACCAAGGAAAATTGGCAGCCTTTCCAACACCACCACCCAAAACCAAGCCCATTTACTTTCTTCACTCCTAAGCAGACTACCTGGCAGTTGTGTTAGAATACCTCCTGCTTTAACACCTCAGTGATATGCTCAACAGAATCAGCCCTGGCCAAGAATTTTACCCTTATTCATGTGTTCATTAAGTACCTCCTTCAAAAAAATTAAGTGATCAAGAATTGGTCTTATTCCAATTCCTGATTTTGGAAATCCCAAAGAACAGATCTGTTTTAATGTTTCTTTTTGTCCTTTCTCCAGAACTGGCTAACAACCAAAGCTCTTGAAGAAAATGGCTCTAGTATGGGATAAATTGTTTTGAGCCATACATAATGCATCTTGCCAGCAGTTGTTTGCAGCTCCTCTGCAAAGTTTCTTTCTCAAGTTAGCTGTGAATCAGAAGCAGAGAGTATTTACCCACCCACCAATAAAGACAACTTATCCTACCAGGCATGGACTCTTCTCCAAAGACATCTCCACTATACAAGCACTGATGATTTACACAGGAAGCAGCTCTTAAACTGTTAGAGTTGCCAACTCAGTGCATTAAAGCAACCGAAAAGTCACCACTGGTTTACTTGAATAAATCAGGCTACAAACTGTGCTGCTAAAGAAGTGTTTCATGGGTTGCCTATCCCTGCCAGAGAGAAAGTGACTTGTGGAAAGAGGAGCAGAGGCCACAGCTGGGTGTTGTAACAACCTCTGCCATCCGAATTGAACTCACCCCTGTCTGAAGTCACTCTACATGACAAAGGAGTATTATTCCATGATAGCAGAGGCAACTCCAGCACAATACAGTTATAACAGTCAAAAGTTACAATAGATGTTTTTAATTACCTCTGGCCACATGGAGAGTTTTAAATGAAAAACAAAACAAATATTATTATACAATTAGAGCTTAGTGAGCTGTCCAGTAAACCTTTTGGCTACAGATATGGAGTGAAATTTCTAAAAATGAAACTCACCCATACACTTTTTAAAAATAGATAAAAGAAAGTTTTCAACAACAGTTACAAGACAAAGACCAAAATACATCCCTGAAAGACAAAAAAGGCTCCTGGAAAAAGTGTGTATTGATAGTTTCCTAACAGTTGTAAAGTTGCTACCAAGCAGTAAAACAAGGTCACTATGGATCCACTTTCTACCTTGTGATTCTATTCAAAATCAAAGTAGGGTAAGCACTTACAGACTTACAGTGTCTCCTAATAAACTGCCTTATGCTGCTGCTCAGGTGAAGTCCCAGAAGTTTAGATGCTACACGGTGCAACAAGCGTTAGTAAGGACACTATATGTCCTGTAGGTTTTATATACAAGGCAAGTTACAACTCCAACTTAAAAAAAACACATGGGTTTAAATCAAAATCGCGAGTGCTAGAACTCCTCTGAACTTACAGAGGTTTATCAACCCCTGAAAGGTTATTTGTACAAGTGTTAACATGTCTATAACCTCCTGAGATAACACATTCACCAAA